CAGTTCAATTCCATTTAAAAATGTTGTATAGTCTATTACAACACAGCATGGTTAGACTCATCCAACAGAAAGTGTACAAGTAAAATACAAATCAAACCATTTTTTTTTTGTTTAGCCCTAAATCTCAATAGCCGTTATCTCTGAGGACTTTACAAAGCTGTTGATTCGCTAGCAACAGAGCAGAGAATCAAACCAGGAAATGCATTGATAAAAAAACACATAGAGTCATTGGTTCATAAGGGGTAGATGACCATAATGTCCATAAATGTTGAATTTTAAGTGTCCTGGATCATCAGCGCTGTCCTTAGACCCTCCTCCATCGGTAATTAACAACATCATTTGTATAGATCCCAGAGAGTCACTATTTGAAGATTTAGGCTGAGAGCTGAGTGAAGGGTTAGGGTCCTCTCTTTGTCACTTTGCTGTCTGAGAAACTTGAAGCCAAATTGTCCATGCATGTGAAAACTATGGCAGTGATGGGACTAAAGTGTTTTAGAGCCAAGAACTATAGACATGGATTTCATTACATATAGTTCCATTGTTGTGGTTAGGAAGTTAGATACCCCAGCTTTAACCGAAGTCGCAACAATGGGTTTTTCGAATGTCTGAAGTAGGTCGCAGTCATAGGGGACAAAAGAAGAGGAGTTTTGGGTTACGTCATGCTATGTTACTATTATTACATTTGTGCTTGTGTGTAATAACATTAAACTGGGAATTAGTACAGGTGTTTTTATTGCTCCATTGAATATAATGTTGCATTGCTTGTAGAACCATAGAAAAGGTGATTCCGTTCTTCTTTAAAATAGGGGCAGGAGCGGAGTGTTGAGGGCAAGAGGGCACATTGTGGAGACCCTGGCCTTATCCCAGACCCTCTCTGAGTATCTGCTTAAATCAACCCCATCGGGGACTATTGTATCCTCAAAACAGCTGAACCGACAAGGAGCTGGTCTCAGTAGTCTTTGAAGAGAATGTGTTGACATTAACTGTTTGTATTCAATTCAATTACTATACAGCCCTCAATCACAACAGTAGTTATCTTGAAGGACTTTAGACAACCGTTGAGTTTGCCAACACAGATCAGAGAATGAAACAGTTCAAACAGAAATGCAGTGATAGAAAAACACATAGAGCCATTGGTCAATAAGGGGCAAATGACCAATGTCCATAAATGTTGATAAATGTAGTAAGATGTGTTTTTGATCTCTAACATTTATGATGAATGTGATATGTACAGTGAGGTGAAACTATGAAAATTCCATTTACAAGGTGAAATTAATATATGACCGACTCCTTAAAAGCAAAGTGAGATGTGTCCATGTTGATTATTGCAGTTTGTGAAAAATTTAAATATGTTGAAAATAGAGTTGTAATCATCCAAACTATAACAAAGGCGTCCCACTTCTCAATTCCCATGCAATGATTCCCCGTCATTTAGTGGCTTCACATTTTATGTTGAATTACAGAACAACATTTCAAAAACACTCTATTATGATGAAGGCCACAGATACGTGATGTTACCTTGGTAAGAGCTCAGGAAAATGAGGAACCAACATAAATTCACTGGCACAAATTTATTGAGTTGCCGTAAAATAGAGCCTGCAGGCAACGTTGTATTACTTTTAATGATCAGGGAGGAGGAGAAAAACCTGCGTCTCAAAAGGACAGAGGGGTAAAAAATAGACTGGGGTAGTCGAAATACAAGTAGCCAGGCAGGCACAAATTCCCGGGCAACACAATAAAAATGTGGCAGTGACATTAATGATGGTCATCCATAAGCTCATACCAATGAAACATCACCGAATCAGGTCGTGCCCTCAACATAAACGAGGGATAATGCACTGAATAAACAGACAATCCACAAACGTCATATAGTATCTGCGATGACTTAAATACAACACCCTCGCTGTAATTTTCCAATTTCCCGTTTTTCTCCATCCCGCGTCCGTCCTCCGGATCGTGCGAGAGAGGTTTGCGTCCAGATATTCTATGGGTAGAAAATCTGACAGAAAATTCAGCCGAGAGGTGATTCGGTCGGAGGCCACCACTCTCGTACCAATATTTCTCTCCCTCGGCCCCCGTCCTCGTACATTACTCTTCCCAAGCTCCCCCAATTATGTGTGACAGGGCCGGGGACAGTGAGCTGGGGGCTTAGTGAAGGCATAGTTATATAGACCCTCTGGTTTATATACAGTCACAAAAAATCCTTCAGCGGGCTCCCAGATTCACTTGTAACCCTATTTAATACAAATATGAACTATGAAAGTGTCCGACCGAGGCGACACAGAGGAGAAAAGTGATCAAACGCTCAAGGATCGAGGCAGAGCACGTGGAAACCTACAAAGTTCAAGTCAAAGATTATATATTAATATTAAATCTAAAAGCCATAGAAATGCCAATGAGATCAAAAAGATAAAGTGCCAGAACGAAGAATACAAATCCGTAGTGCAACGAAAAGTAGAAAAAGAGGGCAAAAATGGTCCCATTCCTACAACAAGTAGACTCAGCATAACACCTGCCTCATGAAGTCAGAAAGAAAGTACACATATCTATCAGTGCCACCAATTTATTATAACAAGCCCGACGTAATCACCAAAAGAGCTTTAACAAGATTGTTATCAGAGTAGAGATTCCATACCCTCCACAACGTAGAAAACAGCGCTGAACACACTGGTCCCATCCAAGTGCGCTCCTACCAGACCAACGGACACCTTGTCCAATTCACACCCACAATACATGCAGACCTAAAGGAACAAATTACAAGAGGAAGGGGAAACCGAAAGCACCCCTGTTGAAACCTAGCTCATACCTGAGAGAACAATGCGACACCACCCCTCACAAAGTTCCCAGATTTCTTAATCGTGAATATCGAGCCCAGGACCCTTCTAATGCACGACAAAAGTGGGACAACGCAAAGAAAGAGAAAAAATGTATTCCCAAATCAAGCAGAGCCATTTCCTTGAAACATATCCAATCAAATCAATAAATTACAGACTATTTAAGTATAAATATGAAAATGTCACGAAGGACATATTACAACGATAGTCCAATACGGCCCACAACAGAAAAGAGAACAAACGTATTGAAGACGGGAAATAACAAACAAAAACAACCGAAAGTCAAAGACGACATATAAAAAAACCCAGAGAGAATAATTAAGCACAACCTATGCAGAGGACCGTGTAATAGAGGAAGGAGACCTGCTATAGTATATCCCAGGACACAGACTGTAAACGGAGGATCTGTCAACGACCATGAAGTCTGCAGGAGAGGAATCAGAGCCAGGATATATTGGGACATCCAGCTCCCAGTGGACCAATGATTAGATTATTAATGCCATAATACTATTAGAAATCTCTGACCGTACAACATAGTAAAGTTCCCGCTATACGATGCTGTTAGTAATAATTAAGGAGGCAATGCACACAACACACATGTACTTATCATGCAGTAAAATCAGTAAATTAGAATTATTAATTGTAAATGGCTTACTGCAGGGGGCGGGTCACGGCTCACAATTGTCCAAAATGACGTGCGCTGACATGCCTGCACTCCCACCACCGGGCCGGATGGGGGGTGACCCGGGACAAAGCAAGCCAATTCAACCCCAGTCAAGTATTGTCCTCATGGTGAATTTTATTGAAGTCACTCGTTTAAATGAATGGAGCCCGTTGCAGCATACACATGCGCAGAAATGAGTAATTTTTCCCATATATTCCAGCCCGCCGAGGCCGTTGACACCTTGCCCATGGCAAGGCCGCCGAAGTTAGAACGAGTGGAGATTAGGCGTGACTACGAATTCGTTAAAATTAACAGTCAAGGTTCGGCTCCTTACACCACAAGACATTAAAGCTCATATCGATTATCCCGATCGTGCAGTTTGACAGACATTATCAAGATCCAATAAAACCACAGCCAACGCTTGCCTCCCTCCATCAAATTCGTTAGTGTTAATCAGAATAGAAACCACACACTCACACACAGCGCACACACACACACACACACACACACGCAGTGCCGGGGACAATACTATAGATAGAAATATTCTGCGATCGACACCTGGAGAAAAGAAGGCTTGTACCGGCTTGCTAAATAAGCTGCCTCTCAGAACCCGTAGGGAGATCCACAGTGATAGCGGCAATTATGACAACGCTGCCATTAACGTGTACATCATAATATCACAGCAAATCCACATCAACCTCTTACACCCCATGCCCCAATCCCGATTCTTTCCACTCATTCCCGTGCACTGCAAACCCCAGCCCTAATGCACCACCACAGCTCAAAACAGACAATCTCACCGTGGCTGTCTCTCTCTCCGTCTCACTTTCAGCTATCGTGGCATAACACAAAGTCCCTCGACGGGAAGGATGTCAAAATTTATTTTTCTAATTTCTGGTCTAGGACAGTGCCACAACGGGCATCCGGTGCGTCGCCGTGAGTTTGGATTTGTGGCGGCGCCCTGACAAGAGAGAAGATCCAGTAGAGATTATCTGATATGGCTGAAACGTAGCTAAGTTACGATCACGGGGCCAGGCAGAAGTGGTGTTGATGCAAGTGGAGATTAATGGAATGATGTGACAAGAAAAAAAAGAGAAAAAAAAGAGGAGACAAGAAAAAGAAGAGAAATTGCAGGATATGACCACGGAATCAGGGTTGATAAATAGGCAACCGAAGATCATAGGGGTCCGTATGAGTAGAAGTAATGTGAAGAATTTATCACCAAGGACACTGAGGAGTCACTTTGCAAATGGGAAAATAATCTTTGATTTGCGGAGAAAGACCTTTAATCTTGTTGTTTTTTCCGAAGCACCCAAAAACAGGAGGGACAGAATACACTAATTATAAAAATTATAGATAACTTATAGAAATAGAAAGAGTAACGCTGTTGATCTGTAGAAAAAGGGAACCCAAACCAGTGATACTCTGACAAAGGTAACGTAAATTAGTTAGTGTGATTACTTAACGGCATTGAGGGGGATACAAGACTAGGATCTCCTCCAATGTACAAACCTACAGGTGAAGCCAATAAAACCCTTTGCTAACTAGACAAATTAGTACAGAAATCAGAACTAAAGATATCTCCAAGTTACCAGCAGCATAAAATTAACTTTACAACAATACCGAATATACCACAAAATAGCACCTATACTTATGCCCTGCTCTAACCCTAGTGCGAAGCCCCCTTGTCCTGTCTGACCTCGAAAACCCTCCGATTGGCACATAAACTTGGAGACGCCGCTTACGACATCCAAACGCAGACCAAGGTGGGGCTTTCTCCCGGGCTGTAGCAGACGTAACCTTGACCTCTCCTGGGAGGGCGTTAGAATGCTGTAGGAAAATTCCCTTTCCGCCTGATGGTGAAGGGACTTTTGCTACTGTCACAGATAATGTATATTTCGAACGTTAATCATAACGCCTTGTTCAAAGGCGATATCTATTTAATAATTCCGTCTGCTTATCGCAGTGTCCATGTGACATAATCCCTGAGGGCACAGGACATTTTTGCTTGGGAACGGAGACCAGAGATCAATTCCGTGTTAGCAAACAAATTCAACATCTAGCCTAAATTACTATAATTAAAATAAACAACGTCCCCTCAGATATTGACCTATATTAAACCAATATAGGTCCTCCAATCTTTCAATTCCCTTCTGGGTGCCGGGACTGGAAGCTCGTCCATCATCCGCCTTGGTTCATGTATCTGTGGCTACTTATCAGTGAAGAGTTAATACAGAAAGACACACAACACACAACCACATTCGAAACATTCCTTCACTAAACACTTTGAATGACCCACTGCTGTCATTCTGATTCTTCTTCAACCTACGACTTAATGTATGCACTAAAACTATTCACTATAGTTTAAACTATCTAATCTATATACAAATATGGGATTATCTTATATTTGCATATTTAATGAACCCTATTCTTAAACATATGTTTTTATCTAATAAATATCTAAACTATACTTGTGGATTGCATTTCAATATGCGAGGCTCAAGCCATTTTCGTGGGGCTTCGTTGCTCATTATTTTCCAAAATACAATTTTTGTGCTTTGAAAACCATGAAGTCTGTTCACAATCCTAGCTCGTCAGACCGTAATTAGGGAAAAAGTACATCGTTAATCAAAAAGTATTCAATCCGACAGAGCTAATCTATTATAGCAGGTTTCATTATCTCAGGGGTTAGTCCCTATACAACGTTGTTTGATTCCTCATCTGTTTGCTGACAAAATCGACAAAAAGAGAAACTCCTTAAAATTCACAAAACTACCAAAGAATCTACTTTTGTGGCTATACCCAAATTCACCAAAATTCTTATACCTAAATGTTATTGAATACTCCAGTTGGTTCATAATCTAATCCAATAATCTAATCTACATTAATTCAAAGGCAACTTTCAATGCCTTTTGTGAATGAGGCTGAAAATCAGTGTTTTGTGGCAGGCTCAGAGTCCACTGAAACCCAGGAGGACGTGTATGTGGCGTCCGTGGAGACCGAGCGGGGAGTGAAGGAGCAGCTGAGGCTCTACGACACCAAAGGTCTTCACGACGGTCAGGAGCTGCCCAAGCACTACTACTCAGTGGCAGACGGCTTTGTGCTGGTCTACAGCGTGGACAGCCTGGACTCCTTCAAGAGGGTGGACCTGCTGAAGAAGGAAATCGACAAGTCTAGAGATAAGAAGGAGGTGAGCCCACAGTGAGGTCTCCTTGATGACTAGATCTTAGCAAAGGTGGGGCGAAATTTGCAACGTTTGTTATAAGATGTTGACATTTAAGCTTTAGAGAATTCATAATGACTAAATATTCCTCTAGTTATTATCAAAATGCATGCTTTTTACTCACATTTAATTCTGGGTCAAGATAATTACTTGACCCATCTATAACTGATGGATAGAACAATATTGTTGGACTTCAATTTTTCAACTTATCGGCTGAATTTTCTTTGCAAAAGTGGAGCGAATATTACATTTTTTGGGGACAATCATGACGTTTTAGCCCAGAGCATTGAAGAACTGGTATATTGAGGATGGCCAGACTCGTTGACATGTTTACATATTGTGTATTTAATTTAATTTTAATTTATTTGAGTGTAAGCTATAAGTTGCAATGTAAAAAATCTTACAGAAGATAAGTAGAGGGGAAGTGTTTTCTTTGTCTTTGTGCAAAGTGTGATAGCTCATCTTTTGCATCTTTAACCTTTTTTTATAATGGGAGGTTCTTTGAGGAATCATTGTTTTATCAAATAATAATTTTTTTCTTGTCTTTAGATTTCAATTGAACTAAATCTGGACTGGAGATAAACACTAAGTTTTGTGGACAGATGAATGGTTTTGATGAATTACTGTAATACGCCTTTGTAGCACCCATGTTGGATACACACAACTATATATTACAGGTTACAGATTTTGATTACCTTTTTTCTTTAAATAAGTAACTTGGTATTTATCAATCTCCCCCTGTTCTCAAAATGTTCTGTTTTGTTTCTTGTAGAAACTTTGATAACTCTTAAATAAAGAATTGAAAAATATACATTTATATAGAAACGACTGAATACTGGGATTATACTACTTTACTGTAAACCCCTATGCCCAGGTGGCGGTGATCGTCCTGGGCAACAAGACGGACCTGCGGGAGCGTCGGCAGGTAGAGGCGGAGGTGGCGCAGCAGTGGGCGCGCGGAGAGAAGCTGAAGCTGTGGGAGGTCAGCGTGTCCGAGCGAAACTCCCTCATCGAGCCCTTCATCCAGCTGACCAGCCGCCTCACCCAGCCCCAGAGCAAGTCCTCCTTCCCCCTGCCCGGACGCAAAAGCAAGGGCACGGCCGCCAGCGACATGTGAAGCCCAGAGACGGCGCTGACGAGAACCGGGAGGATCTGGAGTTTGGTGAAAGAACGGTGACTGTGGTGTGGCACGTTAGGAGAGAAGGGGAGCAAAAACACATTATTGGCATCGATATTGGCCAAAATCAATACATTGGTATCAGCAGATTTTTTTGGTCACACTTTAGTTTAGGCCTCACTAATTAACAGCTAATTAAGTTCTAATTTGTGTATACTTAAGGGTTAATTATCTCCTTAATTGGAGTACTTATTAGTCCTTATTCTACATGGCCCAACTCAACATCTAACTAACTACTAACTGACACTTTCCCATGTGGGTTAGGGTTAGTGATAAATTTTTTTGACAGCTTGTCTTAAAGGCACACCGTGTAACTCTTGGCCACTAGGGGCGCTAGACCTGCAACTTTCACGTTTAGCGCCCCTAGTGGCCACAAGCAACTCAGCACTGTCGCAAAAGTCAACAAACAGTCAGCCGGTGTCTTTTGAGTGTGTATTCAGACAGCATGCACTGGTGTGTGTGTTCAAACTGTAGAGACATGCCTACAGATATTGAGAGACTCTGCTGTGGTCAGCCTCCAGACCGCTGCATTAGTAATCTACCACACATGGACTTCTATATCCTGGATGAGGGAGTTCTGCGTCTAGCTCGTGCTGCGTGGAATGACATCTTTGCAGTCGATGACATCCAGGAACCAGGTGAAGAGCAGCGCTCATACAGACATGCAGCTTACAGCACGATCCCTTTCGCGTTTCCTCTTTTTAGCCTCCTCCGAAGGTTTAAAATTTTTCCTTGCCTCAGCCATGACCAGGAGTCGAGCAGGTGAAAAATGAGTAGCAAAAGCCTTAGCTCCATGAGTATATCAGCGCCTGTAGCCGTAAAGCAAGTGTTTCTTCCAAGTCACGTGACCTGGTGGCAGACGGTCCGTCTGCTCGAAACTTACATGGGCGGTATTTCAAGAGGGCAGCCCCGCTCGGAGCATTGCAAGTGTCAAGCGCTGTATATTGGCCCAAGTATTCATATAAAATAACTCATATGTGTCAACTCTTTAGGTCACAAAGTCCGCGGTGTGCCTTTAAAGGTGAGGTCTGAAACTTCAATTGTTATTTCAAAATTAACGGCTATATTTTTTTATTCAACATATTTAATACAGTCGCTCTCATCGGCAAAACCACCACCAGTATGATTCGCTGGAGGAGAAAAGTTAGACCAATGGCAAGGGGCCTCGTCTGTGTATCAAGCGTTTAAATTGATTCCGTCCAATCAGAAAGCAGTAAAGGTTGGTATGGGCGGGTCTAACCGGCGCTTGCCTTGGAAAAAAAATAACATTTCATAACATTTCCTCTTGTGGTAAGAATGAAAAGACTGGCCGTGTTAGCTTGAACAAATTAGCAAAGTTTTGTGAAACTAGTCTAACATTTGTTCAAACCAGTGAAATAATTTAGTCACATGAATCGGCAAAAAAATTTCTTAGCCAGAGTTTGCAATTTATTACTCGTTTGGCTTTCTTTTTTTGTAAATTTTGTACATTTTTGGACATGCATTGATAGCATTTACGTGGACATACAGAATATAGATTGTGCTTTAGAACCAAAACCGGTCTCATTACAAGTGCTCAAATGTTTTACTTTGACTTGAACATGCAATATAGAAATACTACATACTGTACATACTCTGCTTGCCTGCTATTCCTTCTACAAACTACCACTTTGCCTGGCCACGTGGGCTGTTACTAGTCAAGAATTGTAAAAACACATTATACTCTATATATATATTTATGTGTAGATATTATTGATACTATTTCATTTCACCTCCATTGTGTTATTCCAAGACCGTTTCCAAACCTCCTCAACATTCTTTGTGAAGCATGACAAGCAAGCTTTACAAAGATCATTTCTAACAAGTTTGAGGACTTCCCCACCAAAGATAGGAGCAAAAAATCCAGAGATCCCCAGACTTCTCTACCTACCATAGTTAAACACAGTAAGAAAAATTATATAAAATACATTGATTGATTGAAGCCAAAGTATTGGGATCGGACTTGAAAAAGCTTGATCGTGTGTCCCTGAAAACTCTACATGCTTTGATACTCGTGTTTTTAACAAGTGTTTTGTTTACATGTATCTAGGACCACACGCAAAGTAGCTGCTGCTTAATGTATTATTGAGATACCCCACCTACAGAACTTTAATGGAAAAATGGTTTTGTTTTTGTCGGAGGAACTAGAGTACAGATGTGAAGTGGCCTAACATTTCCAGGACTTAGACTAATCAAAGTCACTGTCCTTCAAAAACCTCCCGTTAACAACAAAAACGTCCTTATAAAACCTGTCTGGGAGGTCATAAGTTAAAAGTATAGAAAGAGGAGGAGGTACCTCGGGTTGCTGAAGATTTTGACTCTGAAAATGCCAGATTTCCCACATATTTTTATGTATGACAGGTTTTTGACTTATTTTTGTTGGAATGGCACCTGACTAAAATCCGTTCTCTGTGTGTGGACTGTTCCATAATAATCATCACGCCATGATCAGTGAGAACTAAGCAATAATCCAGTCGTAGCTCTCTTGTGTCAGTCCGAGTGTCATTTCAGAGAGAATCTAATGTTAAAGATGTCAGTGTTCGGGTGAAATGTTTTATTAACTTATTTTTACCACTTTGAGCCACGATCCATGTCGAGTGAATGGGTGACTTTGTGTTGGAATGTTGGAATGACTTCAGGTGCACTGCTTTTGTCTGCATTTACGCCACTTGAAATTGTAAAAGCACTGAATAAAATGTTGCTTTTCTAATGAATAAAATGTGTTTTCTATTTATTTTTTTTGCTCATGTTTGGGGTAAAGTGGCAAACCTGAAAAGACAACAGTATGTATAGAAAGTGCATATATTTTGGTCAAATACTAAAAGGTTTGAAAGGAGCGAGTGAAGGCCAGATCGAAGTCCTATCTTTTTATTCCCAGGGCCTCAAACCAGACCATGAACAAACTCTATCAGAGAGACTATTACAGAATGGGGATTATTCTTTCACCCACAAATAATTATTCAATCAAATCTTCCGAAAAGCTAAATTTCACAAAGAGGAATCATTTTCAAGGCAAAATCAACAAGGCATCTTCATAGAATCATGCAGGTCATATGTAACTCCAGAGTGGGGAGGCACCGTTATTATTAGAGGTCCATGGGAGGCACAGATACGAAACTGGAAGCTGATATTGGACATTTTGTTAAATCAGATATTTGGTTTGATATCTGTAGCTTGTATTTTGATGAAAAGTGTGTTTAGTGTCTGATATTAGCCAGGATGTCATACTCAGGCAGCAGTTTTGTCAGTCTCAAACAAGCGGCTCACGGGGCTTGTGTGGCCCCCTAGTGGACATCAAAGTTTAATGTCATAGTATTTAAGCTATTTTTTTTTATTTTTTATTTTATCAAGAAGACACCCCGCTATTTTTTATTATCATAAACATTGAACCCTAAATGCAATAAATAATACATGAATTAACAAACCCAGAAGTCTACAGTAGCCTTTGGTCAAGTTTTGTTCATAATACATAAAATTATATCTTTACTCCTTCAATAAAAGCAAAATACCTTCATGATCATAAAAAGTCACAGATGTGAATAATGACCTGTGAACCAACTTTTCACAAAAACTTGGTTTAGCTGTTTTCGTCTCTGTTCTTAACGTTTACTTTCTCCAGTTGTTGTTAATCTATGACACGCCCGTTTGAAATGTAGGGGTATATTTATAAATGACGCTAAACAGTGTGTGTAAAGTAAAACAGTGTGTACGTTTTTATTGGTTGAACAATAAATCTCAGATCAGGTCTCTCCAACGTTAATATATTCTGCACAAAAACACTTGATAAACGTACCTCTTCATTCAGCCCAGCTTCACCCAGAATGGACCTCACACGGCCCCAAGCTAAATTAAGTTTGAGACCTCTATTTTACAGGACCAACAACTATTTTAAACACAATTTTACAAGTAATACATTCGCTGAGATATGAGGGGAGAAAATGTTATATGTAGACCTTTGACTGGTATCTGGTATTGACAGATACTGAAACCAAAGTATCAGAATCGGGATTGGATTTGGATTTGAAAGCGCTAACATGACATTAGTGACATTGGAATACAACAAAAAACCACCAGAGGCTCGAGTTGGTCATGTTTTATTTGTAACGGGATGAACAGAACATTTTATCAGCACACAAACACAAATCACAACCATTCCAATCTACCAGTCTACTTTTGTAAAACACCTTTTTTTTCGTTTCCAAAGGAGAGCGCACACAAATTTGAATAAAGTACTGGGAAATCATGCAGACACATTTAACCTACAGGTTTCTCGTCCTCCATCTTCACGCACCAGCTAAAAATAACAACAGAAACAAGAAAGAATATATATTGAAAAGGGGGAAAAAGACGCACAAAAGTAGCCTGATCACATTTGGGCAGGAGATAACTTAAAAAGAACACACAAACACACACTGACACTCGCACACACACACACACACACACACACACAAACCAACGATCTGGGAGTTAATTAAGACTTGATAAAAATCCACCCCTCCCTACGCTTCCATCGGACCCCCCCAGGACCCCCCCTGCCTCCCTCCTTCCCCCAGAGATGGCGTCTTGCCGTGGGATTATGTGGCGTATCGCTTGGTCCACTGTTTGGCTATCCTGTCGTGTTCCGGTCTGTTTGTGGTGTACTGTGTGGCGATGCTGCCCACCAGAGGGTCCGCTGCGGAAGACAGAAACGATAAGATTGAGAGAGCCCTTTATTCGGCCCACAGTGGGGAAATTTCAGTGTTGCAGCGCACATACAGCACAGTACAGTACAATAAGTAGCTGCAGTATTTCTAAGCTAGCTCTATCAAACTGTCCATCTATTGCTATTCAGTGGACATTAGACAAGAGAAAAGACGCAGTGATGGTGCTCGTTTTGGCCCCAAGGAAAGTGAAGTTTCAAGTGCTTGACAAAATTAAAGAAACATAATTAAAGACAGAGTGAAAAAATAAATAAATTATAGATTAGTAACAAAAACTAAACCTTGTGTTTTCTTTGAACGAACACTTTGTAATGGAATAGTCCAACAGTGTTCTGATTGGTTGATGTATTTTGTGATCGTTAACTGGACTTTACACTCTCAAGTGAAATATTTGTAATCTAGAAACCTTCAGTCACAAAGACAAAGAATGAATACACAGCACTCGCAGCTACACTACGGCATGTTCTTAGTTTAATTTAGGATTAACATTTGTATTTCACCTTTCAATGTCTTCACTTCAGATATTTACCTTTCTGTAGCATGTTTGTGTGTGTGCGCCTGTGTGCCTGTGTGTGTGTGCGTGTGCGTGTGCGCCTGTGTGCGTGTGTGTGTGTGGTCTCACCAGGGTTGCAGTCGGTGAGCAGGGAGCAGATGGACAGCAGGACCTTGGAGATGGTCAGGGCAGGACTCCAGTTGTCCTTCAGGATGTCCAGACAGATCACTCCCTGACTGTTGATGTTGCAGTGGTAGATCCTGGTGCGGAACGTCACCTACAAACACACAAACGCACAACTGTCAGTCAACTTAAGTCTTTCATTGAATAATCAGTCTTAGTATAAACTTCTATACAAGAGACTAAACATTCAAATGATGAAATAACCAAGACAGTGTGTGTGTGTGTGTGTGAGTACTGCTGCATCATTGATTGATAATATTAATTAAAATAAAGACTCCACAGTGGGGCAATTGTAATGTTGCAGCGCACATACAGGACGGTAGTAAGAGCACACAAAATATACAATATTAGTAGCTGCAATGCTTAGCTATAAATGCTTCATGGGAGCAATGAGTAAATATTAAGATATCTAATATGAGTATCTATATTGTGTAAATTATATGTATTTGTAAGGGCTTGTGCGCATCAGAAGTGATGGTCCAGAATACAGAATATTATCAGACTTCTTTTTTTTTTTATCCCCAAGGACTTTTCACAATTAGTCCTTCAACCAAAATATATTCTAACAAAAGCATCTCTATGTTTTGGTAGTGATGACTTCACTGAACTATAAAATCCGAATTTTCTCCATGCAAAACGAGTTTTCCGAGGTTTGTGATCAATTCTAAAAACAAACTTTACAATGGTTCAATGGTTCGTGAAGGAGAGAAGTCACTGCGTTTTTGACATCAGTCACGAGGCTGTTTCAGTAACAAAAACATAAATATAAATAAATAATAAGTAAATGTATTCAACATACACCAGTGGTAAATTTAAACATCAAAAAAGAAAAGTGAAGAGGATTTCTGCGTGTCAACAATTGTGGCCTGTTGGCAGCTGTCTGTACACTGGGCTGTGGCTCCCTCTGGCGGCTTAAGTGGGAATGACACTCACCTTGGGAGGTTTGAAGGGGTAGTCTGGAGTGAAGGCAATATCCAGGAAGAAGACTCCTCCCTCGTACACAGAGCCGGGGGGCCCCAGGATGGTAGACCTCCACTCGTAGATGTTGTCTCCTTTGGGGCCGGCGCTGAAACAGAAGTATAGAAGGATGAAGTAATGAACTAAACCAAACAAATTCAATTTCAATGTTGCTTTCTCCTCGTGTTAAATAATGATGCTCAGACTCAGAGTCCATATGCAGCAGGGCTGAGGTAGAGCTGCAAGCATAAATCCACTCTCTGGAAAAAAAATGTTTTATTATTGTAGCTTTTATTAACTAAACATGGGTGAATAAGTAGAAACTTTTTAAATTTCAACCAAGCAGGAGGGCACCAGACCCCACCCATTTCCTGAATTTTCCACGTTAAGACTGGACTTGAGAAAATTAGTGGGTTACTGGTATTAGTCTGGTATGTGCTCATGCATGGTTGGAATGAAAACCTGCAGCCACAGACCCTGAGCTACAACTTTTTTTTTTTTATTTAAGCTAGTTACTAATGTTAAAACCAGGCACTAGGCCTGACTCTCAACTCTAGTTTTCACACCTGTGTTTATTTAGGGTTCTGTCACATCTTTAGATCAGCTTTTTCAGACAGAAGCTTAAGTGACTCACAGGGCTCTTTCTTACAGTTCATAAGACTCCTTTCTCATATTAAAATATTACACATCTTATGAAAAAGATGAAGACAGCATGTTGTGGTTAGTTCACAAAATGTTACAATTAATTTACTCTTTCTGTTGGGAACAAAACAGATAGTCCAGTAGAAGAGCTTTAAAACCCTGAATAAACAAAATCCATCATTGGATTAGCAGTTTACTAGAATATTCATTACTAGCCTGAACTTGTACAATTCAATATAAAGCAAGACTTTTACGAGAGCCGTTTGAAGAAATGTTAGCAGCTCTGTTTTGGGTTTTCATGTCTGGTGTTTAATTGTATAGCACAGACATAGACTGTAAATATTAATGGACAGGGTCACGCCTATCGCCGCCGTTCAAACAAATGGGCCAAAAAATGTGCTCTACTGGAGCTATCCAAAATTGTGAAAAAACGCATCTGCGCATGCGTCAGCCGGCGCAGCTCCATTTATTTGAACGAGAGACTTCAAAAATTCACAGCAAGAAAACTAGAGTGGTCCAAAAAAATTCACCCCCCTCAGCATTGACACACATGTGGAACGGAGCTTTGGGCCAAGAGCCAACTTTTGGTCCATCCTGTAAAGACGTTTTTGAGAGGTCTGCCAATGCTAGATGTTAGCATTGGCTAATTCTTCTTCTGGGTCCACCCCCATCGGCCCGGGGTGGTATTACAAGCATGTCAGCGCACGTCATTTTGGCCACTTTTGAGCCGGGACCCGCCCCCACTGAGCACAGATCATAAACAAGGCAACTCGAAACAACATTAAAATCATTAAAAAAAGAAAAGAATAAACATACAATACTTTAGCATTTACATTCCTCCATTGTGAGAAATGAACTGTTTTTAATCTGGATTTGAATATTGCCAAAGAGTTTTCCAGATTTTAGTGTACTTTTACTGTATTTTTTGTGTGTACTTTTACTGTATGGCACTAACATGTCGCACAAATACTTTGGTGCAAGGCCATGGAGAGACTTGTAACAAGCAGAACTGTTTTAAAGTCTATTCTCTGAGCCAAAGGAAAGTGCAGACACCTGAGAACTGGACTAATGCGACCGTACTTCCTGGTTCTACGCAGGACTCGAGTCGAGCTGCAGTGTTTTGAATATACTGCACCAGTTTTACAGCTTGTTTGGAGAGACCTGTGAGTGTCGAACCTACTGGAGACAAATGCATGGATAAGAAAGTGAGCTCTAGTCTAGACAATACACAACAATGTGAGCACGCTGTAGGTCCTTTAAAGGCTTATTTAAAAGGCAGTTCAGACAAAGCCATTAAAGTGCCACTAAGCACTAATGTCACCTCACTGACCTAATGAACATTGACAGAGGGGTTATTGGTCCCACCTCTGACCTGACAACTGCTGAGCTCTGAGCCAACTCCATCGAGGAACAGCAGCAGCAGCAGCAGCAGGGCTCTTTCTCAGGGTAAAGGGACAGGTCTTCACAATCCAAATATGTTTGATAAAAGGAGACATGACTTATTTTTATATGATAAAAAAATAAATATATATAATTTATTTGTTTTTATTGTTGCTTTTTTCTTGTCTGTACAGCACTTTGGTAAGCCTAGGCCGTTTTAATTGTGTCTTGTGTTGGGTTATCGCAGACTAGCAGGAAAACTACAGACGTAAGCACATGGGGAACTTTTATGACCAGCTATCACAGGACAGGAACTAAGAACAAGTGTCAATCTGAGGACAATAGACAGTGAGGGAAATAGCTTCCTCTTTTTTCCAAGGTGTCTTTCAGAAAAGGGATGAGATGTGGCGGAGGAAGGAGGAAGCCGACAGCCTGCACTGTTGGACCAAAGTTCAAGACCAGACCCAGATCTGGTCTTGCTGCTTCTACGTATGGGCCCTATGATTATTTACTTTATGTGATCAATCTTTGCTGTGTTAGTCTGAGCAGGGACAGGGAGGTCGTCACATAGAGCCTGGCTGACCTCCATAGTTTATAGGCCCGAAGGGACAGCTTTTTGGCTCAGCTCATAGGGAAAGTCAGGGGTAGAGTCTTGTATTAGTATTTAATTGCTAAGAGAATTAAATATCGTGAATATCTTGGTCTCAAATTCTGAATCATGTCCTGACATCACTTGCAAATAAAGATTTGGACCTGATCTGGAAGTCAATAGGTTGTGCTCATGTGACACCACAACATCCTAAAGAACCTATAGTTTAAGATTATAGCAGAGGGCAACTGAGAAATCCCACTGCTTTGAAATCATGGCATCAACAATTGTATAGTTGTTTATTTTTTCTTTCAAACGTCTGTATGCACCAAAAGACAAAAACAACAAACAGGCCAGAAAAAACAAATAACGATAGATTGAAAAGGTGTTGGACGAAACAGATGCTTATTTGGTTCACATAAGTATTAAAATGATAAAAAAGAGAGACGTGAGACGAGAATAGTATCTTCGCTCTTTGCAATCTACTGTGGTTATCATGTTTTGTTAAGAGCTTTCAGTTTCCTTGTGTATGAACTATAAAACTGCAAATTTGCCTCGCCTTCTCTTTATAGTGAGACATGCATATGAGATCATGTCCAGCATTATGGAGCTAGAGCATGTAATATTGCCAAAGCTAACACTATTTGCATGTGTTTTCCATCGGGCACCGCACTCGCCGCTACGAGTGGTTGTGGCTGCCAGTATATCTTATCCTTTCCACTGAACACGCAGGGATTCTAGGGGTTCTATGGCCCCCATCCCCCCCTCCTAAACGATAACTAAGCCCACCCAGCTCTCCGTGCACGCCCTGCCATCCCTGTTGTCATTCACTCATATAATTTCCGGCGGACCTTGACAGAGCGTCGGTGACATTTGAGCGGTTTGGGATTGGGGTAAAGCCGTTAACCTTTGGAGCGGCGTCGGTTGGGGGTCTGTGACAGAACAGGGAGGCGTTCGAACACAGAGGGAAAAGCGAGAGAGAGGAATGACTACAGTGATGGAGATTTCTTCTCTGGCTTTTATGTCGCGGTGAACCAATTGCAGATTTCTTCAACTGTCAACACTCAACCCTTTATTTTAGCTTGTTGTTTTGGAGTTTGTCGATTTGTATTGAGCCAAAACAGATTGGGCTGGGATCTGCAGATTTGGGGGTGAATTATGAATCTAATCTTTGACCCATCTCATCTTGTCAGTGCAGTTCGAGTTAGATTTTTTTAATTTATGACAACCCAGACATGAAATCAATAATTAAAAACAGGAAAAAGTATCTAATTTTGCATTTCTAACCCTGTCCATTCGTCAGGTGCTAAGTAGCAAGTTTAGGACTTCGAATACGGCCTTAAACACCTCTTGACAACAACGCGAGTATCTCCGCAGAGACGCCTGTAGCAGTGCTGCAGATGATGCTTTCAAGGGCCGCCACTTCCTCCCAGGAGACGGGCCTTTTTATAGACACAAACCAGCTGTTGAGAAACTCCAGAGGATACGCTCTGACTGCAGCACTAAAGATTAAGAGGAAATCTGCGAGAGACAACAACGAAGCCAAAACCAATACTTTCCACCGGAGAGTAATGGCGCCGTGTTAGCTGCTGCTGCTGCATTTAGGAGCAAAGTAATACAGTCAACATGGTGAGAGAGTGGGAGCGGATCCCTCCCTCAAAGTGGGCCTCTCCGAGTTTTCTCACTTGTTTCCCACAAGGATTTTTTTGAGTTCCTTGCCGATACAGGAGGGTCTAAGGACAGCGGTGATGATCCAGGACTCTCGATATTCAACGACATTTATGGACATTGCTCTTCTGCCCCTTATGGACCAATGGCTCTATCTGTTTTTTATCATTGCATTTCTTGTGTTCGGACAGTTTGATTCTCTGAACTGTGTTGGCAAATTTAAAAGTTTTGTAAAGTTATTCGAGATAAATACTGTTGTGATTTATTCAATAAAGAATAAATTGAATTGAATTGAGAGAGGATTATAAAAAACTAAAGGCCAGCATTTATAAAGAGAAAACATAGGGATAGCTTTGTGTAACAGAAAGACAACGATATAAGAGAAAAAACTAAAAATATTTAAAAGTAGGGATGTCTTTTGACTTAAGGGATTCTTTAAATAAATGTCCTCCCCTTGACCACAGAGCCTTAAACAAAGCAATGCCACTCAAGGACATCTTCATAAAAAATAATTATTTTTTTATTAGAAAAACAGGTGAAACTCAGAAAATTAGAATACTGTTCAAAAATTCCTTTATTTCTGTAACTTAAAAAAAAACTTCAAATGTGAAACTAATAAAGGATTTAGACTCATTATGCCAAACACAATTTTGTTTGGTATATAATAGTTTTCTTTCCGAGATCCAAGGCAGTTATCAACACAAGACCAGATAACAGCTTCAAATCTCTCACTGCGTGTGTCATGGGTGTCATATATTAGTTTCACGTTGTAATCTGAATTGCAGAAGTGAGTAGTTCCGGGTTTCACTTGTCACGAGTCGGGGGGGTTC